CGACCACAAATACTTTTTCTGAAACCTCTCGACCCACTCTACGACCCTAAAAGTTTTTCGGGTGATAATTCAGAAGTCGCGTTTCAAAACCCAGTTTGAGATCTGAACAAAACAACGATAAAACACATTATGGAAGTGAGGTCTACGACCCATTTTTAGTTTTTTATGTTTTCAGGAGAGAATACATGCAATATTTCGTATTTACGTTATCGTAAACATTTTATATTTAAGTTATCGTCATGATCTCGTATTTACGCTATCGTCAATATTTCGTATTTACGTTATCGTAAATATTTCGTATTTACGTTATTGTTATTATTTACATTATCATTATTATTTCATATGCAAATTATTGTTAACATCTCGTATTTACGTTATTGTTTTTATTTTATATTTACATTTACATTAACAAGTTTTAGTTTATATTTCGTATTGACATTTACATAAACTTGTTACAGTTTATATATATATATATATATATATATATATATATATATATATATATATATATATATATATATTCAACAAAATGTAAATAATATATATACTTCTTCGATCACTTGTATATTGTTTGTTTTTGTTGATTTCGCAATGGGTGAAATGTGGTCTTGGTCAAAATATACTCGTTATGCAGTCTAATTTTTTTTAGAAAATTTTAATATAATTTTTAGACAATAAATGAACACTAAGTCTAGTAAACTTTATAATTTAAGGTTTAAGACACAAACTTATATTATTGAACGACATAAATGGATAATCGTCTAGTACACTTTTAACTAAAGTTTAGGACATAGTTAGAAACACTTTTGGACCTGTTAAACTCGGGAATTTCTATGTGAGTGCAACACCTCATCAACTAGGAACACAAAAACTTAGTAAACCTCTTTGTACTATAACCGTTAATTTGGATGGAGCGAGGAACATTTGTATAGATCTACACGGGGCGACCTCCCCTGCATGTGATTTCTAGGTACAACCCCCTCCGACGAGAAGAAACGGTCGGAATTGTTCATTTTTTTAATTCTCGTTCACAACGTGGATGAAGCGTTATTGGTGTTCTCAGCACGGTACATTGTGGTGTTGGACAGAAGTTTACACGTCATTAGCTCGGTTACAGGCTCACAATAGCCCTGGAGTACACTCTAAAAGTAGCCAATTAAAATTGAATTAGTGTTTGAATGAAACCGGAACACACATATAGAATAGAACTAGTATTTTTACGTAGTTGAACACACATATGAGTTGAAATAGGACTATCTGTTGCACGAACTCTCAGAACCTTCGAAAGTGTAAGTAAATCATTTAAGTGAAATAAATAGTTAATAATATTACGACAATAACATTTTTCGTTGTAAACGTACATAGCATAAGTTACCAAAATAAACAATACACTCTCTTGTATGGTGCTACAAGTATTAATACACTTAATTTAGGTAGAATTGCGTACTATACACACACTTATACAGGGTTATAGGTACGGTCACACATATGTAAACTAATGTTTTTAAATAAAACACTTACATATTTTGTTTATTTTTATACTTTTTGGGCTAGAAAAAAGTAATATATTTATATAAGTTTAAAACACTTATATATTATTTTGTTTTGTACTTTTTTGTCATAAAAAGTAATATTTTATATAAGTTTGAAACACCTATATATTTGTTTTGGTTTTAATATTTTTTGGTCATAAAAAAAGTAATATTTTTTTATATAAATATGAAACATTTATATATTTGTTTTGTTTTATACTTTTGTATTTAAACAAGTAATATTTGATATAAGTCTCCAACACACACAAACATATATATATATATATATATATATATATATATATATATATATATATATATATATATATATATTGTAACTTCCGGATCGCAAGTAAACTTATTTAAAGCTTTAATGCATATTTTTATTTTAGATGGGAGGGCCGTACGTCGGGTGTAACCAAGTGTTACGTGGGGCGTAGCTTATTAAAACATGGTCGCGACATTTATTGGGTACGATGGGCGTACTCGTGACTGATGTAAACACAAAATTTTGGGGCTTAGACCCTATAAAACCTCATTATCTGCCTTGAGGCTGACCTTATCTTCAACCTCCACCCTCTAAAGTAGTCCCCTCGAAACCCTACTCCCATTAGTGAGATTCTTGAGCCGTTTAAGTGATTTGGTGTGTTTTTTGTGAATATTGAAGAAGAAGGAACTCATTGGAAAAGTGTTGATTGGCTTGGATCTTGTAGTTCCAGACTCTATTATTTTGATCATCTTTTTGGAGGTATAAAGTCTCAATCCTTATGATTAATTGATTAGATCTAGTTAAACTTAGGGTTTTAGCACATTTTGGTCCCATGGGTTGGTTCGTGTGAGTAAAAGGTACTCCAGAAGCTTAGGGTAGCACTTCTTGATGTTTCTAAGGTCCTTAGTGCATAAAAATCCTATCTTAATGGCTTTGGTTCATCCATGCATCAGTTGTTTTTCTTGATATGAAGTTAGAAGGTTAGAATTTGGTTTTGGGCTTATTTGAACGTTGCAAAGCCACCAAGTTGTGGACTTTATTAGTTAACATGCTGCTTAGATTGAGAACTCTGAGTTGGATGAAAGGTATTTAAGCATTAAGAGCTTAATGGCAACAAATGGGCATTCGACATGTGACATCGTGATCTCCATGTCGTGATGGTCATGCCACCACATTATGAGAGAATCCGTTCAAAACAGCTGATGAATCTCATCGTGACATCGTGATCTCCATGTCGTCATATCGTGACTACTGCATTTGGGAAATTTTATGCATTCAGTCCTTAATCGTTTAAGCCATCCATTCCAATTTTCTAGGGGGGAATTCTTACTCCAAAAACATTCTAAAAATTGATGCTTTATTGACATGCATGTGCAATGCATGTGTTGAACTCATTTTTGGTCAAAATAATGAAACATGGAACCACAATCTTATGCCTAGATTCAAAAATTGCCAAACTTCAGATCCATCATGCATAACCTTCAAGGGACCTGAAGGAATCCATAAAGTTACCAAGTTTATGTAATCATACAACCCAAACTTCCCTAAAAGTGGCTAAAAAGGGACAAAAAGCATTGATCTGGCACCCTAACGCATAAAGATTGGAACTTGCAAACTCACTGTAACTCCCAAAACTATGGATCTTATGCAATATCAATCTTAATTGCTTAAAGAATGCGGAATGTTAATCAAACAATGATTCAAGAACACACAAATTTGCTTCAAATGCACACGATTCTATTATCAATAAACCGTCTGGTACATATGAACTCAAAGCAGTTGAAAACTAATGAATGGAACAACTAGCACAACTAAACGGATGAATACAATATATATATATATATATATATATATATATATATATATATATATATATATATATATATATATGCCAAGTACAAGACCATAAAAGCCCAAGCCCATCATGACCGAAATCACCATGGTGATTTCGGTCCTTACAACCGAGAACATAATAAGCCCATTAATAAAATACTATTCTAAGCCCAAGAGCAATAAATATTATGAGCCCAACATAAACCACAAAAATATGACCCAACAATGTCCCCCTTGGTTTATTGTTGGCTGACTTGAAGGCTTCTCCACAATATGCACGTCAGAATCACCCAATCCTCCTACCGACAACTTCTTATCAATGATTGTTGCAATCATACTGGTGAATGCCTTAGTAGCGGCTTCAAACATTTCATTCTCTACCATAAGCTGTTTTTTAGAGAAGGTGTAAATGTCATGCTTGCCAAATTTTAGTAAATCCTTAGGATCAACAAGTCGAATCTGATCATTTTCTTTCTTGATAACCACAGTTGTTGTTGCCTCATCATATACCCAAAATAATAAATCATTTAAAGAGCCATCAGGTAAACGCTGAGTGATAGGAATCTTTTTCGCTTTGGAAGTAGGCGGCCACATGACATTTACCAGAGTCTTGTTGGTGTGAGGATCTATGAAACCCTTGGCCTTTTTAATGAACGAAGATGTTGTTGTCATGTCTGCAAAGTTCATCTTAGCTTTGTCTTCAAGGAATATTTTAAACGCCCATGCATTGGGATCATTTGTTGGGTTGTGAAACGGTGCACGAACCAGCTCTGCAAGATCAACTTTTGTCCAGGACATAAAATCAACCTTCTTCGCATAATACTCAATGTTTCCACTCTTACATTTCACAATCCACATATTCTTGTCAGCTTCAAATCCCCAGATGTGAATTCCAGAACGATCACCGTATCGATCAACAAATTTTCTTTTTCCAACTTCTTTGATGAACATCTGAGGTTGATCACCAGTTGCATTCATATCAGAATTCTTCATCAGAAGCATTTTATCTTTCTTCATCATATTCACTTTCTTTTGTTTCTCCCTTCTCTCTTCAGCTGTGACAGGGCTAGAAGAAAAATATTGATCTATGTTGGAATCCGGAGCGAGACTAATTACCACCCTTTCAGATGAATCAGGGGCCTTTTCACCATCAGAACTGGAATTCTCGAACTCATCACCAAACTTTCCAATTAGTTTGTCTTTGAGATCAAAGTAGAAGGCTGTCAGAACACCAAGATTCGCTTGAAGTTCTGAGATCTCTTTATTCTTTTGGGAATTCTCCTTTTCAAGTTCCGAAACTCTCACATCCAACTTCCCAATCAGCAGATCCTTTTCAATGGCTTCCTGCTTTAAAATTAGTATCTCTTGTCTGAGCTCAGAGATGGTTTGCTGAGAGTCTTCATCACCTCCTTGTTCTGAGCCAATATATATACCCTTTCCTCTTGACCGCGGAATAGAGTCTTGAAAAGCTAGAAGCTTGGCTAGCTTAATAGATACAACATCGTGATCTGGAGGAGGTGGTGCAGAAGAACTTCATGAGGTAACAGTTTCCTTATTAACGAAGAAGTCTTCAACAAAAGTTGGACTTTGATCATCTTCATCAACTTGGGTTGCTCAACGATTGGGCTTTGAACATCTTGATGAACCTAGGCTGGTTTAACAATTAGGGCTTGAACATCTTCATGAACCTGTGCTGGTTCAACAGTTGGAGTTTGAACATCTTGAATAACTTGGGCTAGCTCAACATTTAAAGTTGGCAGTTTTACTGGTTTAGCAATAAGCACTCCCGGCCTTAGATCTCTACGTCTTCGCTTCTTTGGCATCTGGGAGGCATTTGGTTCGTCTTTATCACTCTCAGATGGAGATTCAACAGTAACAGGAACTGTTTGGGGAGGCTTCCTTGCAGTTGACTGTAACTCTTTAATAAGTGCTTCCATCTATTCGGGCATTGGATTATCCGGTTGCTTGAAAATACTGATTACAGACTCTGTCTCAGCTGGAGTAATCACAACTTCATTGACTGGCTCCTTCGGTGGAAAAAACAGAAGAAAATTCACATCATCATTATCATCGGAATCATCATCATCATCATCATCATCAACATCATCATCATCATCATCATTATCATTATCATCATCATCAGAAACCTCAAACGAAAAACTGAGATTTGACCTTGATGGTGCCACATGTTCTTCTGCCACTATAGCAATTAGAGTACTAGTAGCTTGAGCACCTTCTGTCTCAGCGAATTTTCCAAATTTGACTAACTCCTTTAATCCTTGATAGGCGAATTTGGCAGATTGTCTTGATTGCTTCATGAGCCCAAAGGTGTTAGGACCCAATGCTTTCATGTCCAAAGTATCAGACGATCTCTCGACCTGGAGATATTTTTCATTCAGAATCATTTGAAGAAACCTGGGATACATTAAGAACAAATCCTTCTTCCTCCCTTGGAGATTCCTTGTCATTTCTTCAAAAATATACTTTGAAAAGTTGTAATCCTAGTTCATTGTTAAAGCAACAATGGATGAGGTCGCAGTCTAACTAATCTCATCAAACCCTCCCTTCCTTCCAGAAATGCAATTCACAAAGTAGTGCGCCAGAAACCTCCAGTAAGGTGGCAGTTGCTTCTTGATGGTGGGGGGGGGATAGGTTCCTTCATAGCACATCTTCTCAAGGACTTCCTTCACTTGATTAACAGGGTACTCAATTGGGAATGCAGGAGCATCACCAAATTCAAGTACTTCTCGGATAACTTGCTCAGAAACAACTACTTGAGTTCCATTCACCACTGATTCAACAGTACCAGCTCCATCCGCTCCCTGATTATTGATTGAGGCATTTTTCCAGAAATCAACAATTAGGTCCTTGTAGATGACTGGATTAGAATGCAAAGCGTGACAAATTATGTAATTATTCAAACCCACGATCATGGATTTGAATTCTTTATGAACAGCAGGTGGATCCATAAGATATCCAACAACATTGTGATTTTCAAAAAACTTTAACTGATTCGCCATTTATCTGCACGAAATGAGTCAAATTAGAATAATAAAAATTAAGATTAAAATTTATTTTCTCAAAAATCAAATCTTGGTCCAAAAATGTTGATTTCGGTCCAAAGTTTGCGTTTTCGGTCCGATTTAATTGATTTCGGTCAGTCTAAAGTTGTTTTCGGTTGATCAAATTCGATATTTCGGTCAAAAAGATGTTTTCGGTTTAATTGAATTGATTTCGGTTGAATTTAATTGATTTCGATTGGACCCAGGTCAAACCGAAAATCCGAATAAAACCCGACGATTCATAGACAAAATCCTTTTGACAGTTTTACCGGAAACTACCGTCACTACGCCGGAAAAACTCCATTAACAACCCACAAACACTTCAAAACACTTTAAATATAGAAGCATGATATTTAGAAACCATATACCTAGAAACGATTGTAAGAAATGAAATGGATTTGATGATTTTAAGCCGAAGATGAAAAGATTTTTCCGATGACTATGAACTGATTTAGCCTAGGGTTTTGAGAGAGAAGAGGGAATAGATTTCGGTGTGGATTTGGAAGAATGAAACAAAGAGAAGAAAATTTGCTTTTATATCCCAAAAATTGGGTTCTCGGCCTTTTGGGCCACCGAAATCAATGGGCTCCATTTAAAAAATTTTATTCGTTTCAGAGATAAACAAAACGATAAAATAAAATTTGAAATAAAATAAAATAAATGTCAAGCAAAAATAAAATTAAAATTAAAACAAACTTAAAAGTTTCAATAATTTAAAAATGAAGACAAATAAAATGCCAAATAAAATTAAAATAAATTAAAAATAAAACAAACAAACTTCAATAAATAAATTCAAACATTTTGGGATCAAAAGTTGTCGAGAAATTTAATATTATATCTCAGCACCCACCTGCATGAGTAGTTTTGGTCAATCACCAATATTGTGGTCCACTTAAACACAAAAGATATACGCAAGTTGGATAGATCAAAAGTGACAAGATATTGTGACTATATTCCTAAAAGATCATTTAGCTGACGACGACCAAGGATATTGTTGTCCACTTAAATTCAATAGCGAGATCTACAGTCAGCCTTTGGTTAATTAAATTTTAAGTGCACTAGAGTGTGTTCCCCATTTCACGACATAACCTAGCAATCAAGGAATTCCAAAGAACTCTTTACTTTAAGTGAGTGTTCAATTATTTGAGAGAGAAGATGGATATAGAGATCCATATGTTGTATCCCAAGTCAGATATCTTCCAATCACGCAAAGGGACAACATATGACTAACATAGATAGAGGGATAGAGAAATAGAACGATACATATGTTGTGTCCCAGGTCGGATCTTCCGATCACACAGAGAGGACAACATATGACTGACATTTATAGATAGAGAGAAGCATAGAAATAGAGATGCATATGTTGCATCCCAGGTCAGATCTTCCGATCACACAAAGGGGGAACATATGAATGACAGAGAGGATAAGAAAGAAAAACAATTTCACACAGACCTAGTTTATCAGAACCCCCCAGTCACCCTATCATCACCAGAATTAAGGACATAAGTCCGTACATCGAAGAAGTGTCGAGCCACAGTTCTAGATGATAAGTAACTTTAATGTATCATGTAGGCTCCCTTGTTTATCTCACTGCTCAATATATCCAAGCGTCGTATGGTCAGTCCAAATGAAACTATCTAAGTCCAGATGAGTTAACATTGTCTAGTCCTTTCATTGTCAGCTGTGTCTAGTCCTTTAATTTTGAATCCTTCGTGCCTACCAGCACATTGAACATAGAGTCTAAACAATTCAGCTTCAGTGCATTACACGCATCTCATATTGCCCTTTACCACTAAACTTCATATCACTTCCCAAGAATACTTACGAAAGAAGACATATTTGTGTATTTTTGATTTTATAATTTTTTTGTACTTTTAATTTCTCCCCCTAAATTTGTGCATGGAGAAGAAATTAAATAAAGAAATGCGCAAATTAAACACACAAAAATAGAAAAATAAAAAACAGAAACTTAATCTTCAAAACGAATCATCTTTAGAAAACCCACAAACACATCGAAACGAGCTTTACTGAAGGGTTTGGTGAACAAATCCTCCACATTCTTATCGGTGTGGATATGTTCCAAATGAATGAGCTTACGCTCATAGCAGTCTCGAATAAAATGAACTTTAATGTCGATGTGCTTGATTTTGGAATGTTGAATCGGATTTTTAGCAATTTGAATGGCCGCATCATTATCACAAAAAATGGAAGTGTCAAGAAAGTTCAAACCGTAATCCAACAATTGGTGTTGAATCCAGATAACCTAAGAGGAGTAGGCTGAGGCGACAACGTATTCAACCTCAGCCATTGAGGTCGACACCGTTTGCTTTTTCTTGCATTGCCATGACACCAATCGGTCCGCTAAAAACTGACATCCACCCGATGTAGATTTCCTGTCAAGATCACACCCTCCATAGTTTCTGTCAGCAAAAGCATATAAGTCGAAATCAGGATTTTTAGGATACCAAAGACCCAGTTTAGGGATACCTTTAACGTACCTAAAAATCCTTTTAACAATAATTAAAGGGGAAAGTTTAGGATTAGCCTGATAACAAGCGCATTGACAGACGACAAAAATGATGTCAGGTCTGCTGGCAGTCAGATACATCAGAGATCCGATCATCGATCGATATTCAGTTGGATCTACGGATTCCCCATATGGATCTGGAGTCAATAGTGGTCTCTCTGCCATTGGAGTTGAAGCAATTTTTGAATCTTTAAAACCGAACTTTTCTAGCATGTCTTCCACATATTTGCCTTGATGCAATAAAATTCCAGCCGAATCCTGTTGAACTTGTAACCCTAGGAACATTTTCATCTCCCCCAGCGAGCTCATCTCAAATCTTTTCTTCATTACATCCTCGAACTCCTTGCATAGCTCTGTGCTGGTCGACCCAAAAATGATTTCGTCTATGTAGATTTGTACGACAATCAAATCTGCATCCACTTTCTTGATGAATAAAGTTTGATCGATCGTTCCCCTTGTATATTCGCGCTCAAGCAGATGTTCAGTTAGGGTAGCATACCAAGCTCTAGGGGCCTGATGCAAACCATATAAAGCCTTGTCCAGTTTGTAGACATGATTTGGAAATTTTGGATTGACAAACGCTGGTGGTCGATCAACATAAATCTCCTCCTTCACGACTTCGTACAAGAAGGCTGTCTTGACATCTATTTGATAAACTGTAAATCCCATGTAGGAAGCATTTGCTAGGAATATACGAATGGCTTCCAAACGTGTGACAGGAGCATATACTTCTGTGTAGTCAAGACCCTCTATCTGCCTGAATACGTGAACGACCAAACGAGCTTTGTTGCGCACAATAACCCCGCTATCATCTTGCTTATTTATGAAAACCCAACGCGTGTCGAAAGACTTCTTGCCCTTTGGTAGCTCTATCAACTGCCATACTCTCAACTTCTCAAACTGATTTAGTTCTTTATGCATTGCATCTACCCAGCTCTGTTCATTTAATGCCATGGCCATACTCTTTGGTTCAATTTGGGATATGAAGCACGAATAGAGACACTCGTTGACATCTCCACTTTGACTTCTGGTCTAAACCCCGCTTTATAGTGGACCAATATTGTTCTGGATAGGATGATCGCGTTGAACTCTGGTTGGGATAGGATGGCTGATATCATTTACTGAGACTGGAAGATTTGTGATGTTGTCAAATCTGCCCGCTGCCGAATCACTTCCTTCAGACGGTCTGTGATCATGAGAAGTACTTGCCACAAATTCATTTGCGAATGGATCTGGAAAGAGAAATTCCATGAAGGTTTGTGTGGCAGATATATTTTCCCTTGAGAGAACCTCAGCTTCTTCGGGAGAAAGAGGAGTGGTTTCGGTGTCAGATATAGACTTTTGGACTGGTGAAGAAGAAGATGTATTTGATGTAGCTGCATCCGCCATAGGAGATTAAGGAATCACCACATATGGTTTGAATGAGCCAATGACAACATCTTCCTCATCATCTCCAACAGTTGCACTCGAACCTGAGCATGTACCTGAAATATCATCTGAAAACACATTAAATGATATAAAAAAAGAAGTGTAATCAAATAACCAATCTGGCCCAACTCGAGCGTCCGTCGTGTTTTCTTCCAGCCAGCGCACATCAAATGACTCCACGATCTGTTTGGTGAATTTGTTGTAGATTCGATAAGCAGTGCGTCCAATATATCCCATAAAATAGCAGTCATCAACCTTTGAATTGAACTTAGGAGTTGATTCCAGGTGAAGTAGTGTGCAT